CCTGTCATTCAAGGAATGTTGATGAGTCCAATATATGTCAAGGTTCTAACACAGAAAGTCTCATTTTCTCACTAAACTTGTGTTCATCTGCACAACTACTCTGTGGACAGGATGGAGACTGGGTCTACTGAAATTTTCTTAAAAGGATGCCTTTGAAACAGCATGTCAAGCATCAGTTATATCAGAGATGTGCACTGTGCTGAAACTCCATTGCACTGCATATTTGAGGCATATTTGTGAAGTCTCAAGCTCTCTAGCCAACTTAAACATTTTGTGACAAATAGCTTCAAGCATGTCCTTCTTCTGAGGCTATTCTTTGCAGCAGAGGAAACTCAAAATTAATATTTTCTGAAAGGCTGCCTTCTTTCCTAGCAGAAGGAATGGGTCTAGAAAATCAACTGGAACATAGTATTAATTCAGCGGGTATAATTCCTCTTTAAAATCAGCCTTATAATGTCTTAAGATAGTATTCTCTACTTGTACCTCTGCTGGATTTCACATTTTATGACCTGAAGTTAGTTATTTAGAGGTTTTTAGTTAGTTATTTAGAGGTTTTTCCAGCCTAAATGGTTCTGAGACTGTGTGCTATGGACATTCTGCTATCAGTTACAGGATAGGTAGGTCACGACTTTGTTCTGAGCATAAATCTGCTCAACAGTAGAAAGAGAGATTATCAGATTAACCATGGTGTGCACCTGAATACTAGCACATATAAGAACTGATCTACTGAGGTAATAGGGTAGATAGATGGAAGTTAAGCAGGAACAGCTATATCTTCCAGCATCCAATTTGTCATGCAGGTGTCACTTGCATCTCAGCCCTTACCATGTGAATGCTGGTGGCTAGGATTGTCTTTCTGCTCATGCCCTGTTACACCAACCCTGTCAAAATATTCTTCAAAAAATGTCATTTATTAATGACCTGGTTTCTTAAAAAATGTTTAGAAGGCAGAATATCTATTGCATTATTTCAGGGATCAAATCCCAAATCTGATGGCAGAATTCTATTCTAACTGTAGCCAACAGCAAATATAAACAGTTTGGACTATCATAATAATCTGAGACCTTCAATGGTATCTTGGCAAGTGACCTTTACTTGTGCCTAGTAGTAGGTTTTGGGGATTTTTTTTGCAATAGGTGTCATCATTAGAAAGAAACTATGAAAAAAAGCTTCCTGTTCATATAGGCACTTGTGAGCAATGCAGTTGGTACAAGCTTGAAGCAACAAAATCTTTATTAAGACTCCACCTTCTCCATTCCTGTAATATCCAGCCTTACACATCAAAGCTACCTTAACAGAACATTGCTGTGGTTGCAAACTCAAGTATATAAAATTAGGAAATGACAACTAAGTTCTCACATGCAAACAGATTTTGATACCCCTTTTTCAGATTGTAACATGATTATTAATTACATGATGAGACTGATTTCCACCAGACCCTTACTTTATTTGATGTTCAAAAAGATCAGGTGCCAACTTCACAGAACTCTAAGGTATCTTCTTTCTATCTTAGCAACATATGATTTCTTCACCCAGATAATCCTGCTTTTCATCTTGTATCCCAACACCCCATCAAATCTCTTTTGTTCTCTTTCTCTCTCCTATTGAAGAAATAAACTCACTATTGTTAATTCCAGTATCCATCCCTACCTGGGCTTGAACTGAGAGGGATATCCAGTTTAGAAAAAACACAGTTTTTCTCTTTCAGTGATGAAGATAATATTTTTTTAAAAATCATTTTCTGTCAGGGATCAGCAGATGTAAAGCCTGGTAATGATTCTAAGGATTCTTAGCTGCTGTGTTAGTCGAGAAAGAAGCAGAGGTCTGAGCTTACTTTATGGGTGTAGATTCTTTAAGGATGCAGCTGTTCCCTTTTATCAACTTTCTACTAAGCACAGATTTCTAAAGGCTGAGTTAAGTAATTTTTTTTTCCTTTAATGTTCCCCGACTGGTATCATTGTTGCCCAGCAGAATTCAGAAAGGATTTATAAACCATCACTAGTTCTGAGGCTCCAGCTGCCAATCACCCAGTAGTAAATGTCCCAACACCCCTCAAACTTATCACAGATTACAGTGCAGGAAGAGGACTTGCAATAATCCTTCATTCAATCTGCTAATTGATAAAGATGAGGTAATAATGAAGCCAAGTGATTGTCCTAACAAGCTACCACTGTACTTGACATAAAAACCACTCCCAAGGAGAGGCTTCTTTCTCACCTAGATCTGGGAGAAGCCAAGCAAATAACAGTTCCTCCTGCTGATGATCACTTGTCTTGGCTGCATCTATTTTGCACCTGGTTATGCTGAGTGGAAGAAGGTGGGTAAAAGTTTCAAAAGGCCATTGGCATCAAGTCTGGTACTGGAGAAATCTCTCAAGTTATAGCCTCTCACTGAAACTGTTGTAATGTCAAGCTGACATACGAACAATAAAGTAGCACACTTGGAAATATTTTTAAAATGGGCAAAGGGCACAGTGACAGGATAGCTTTTTGATTCCAGCACTGTGCTCTTGTATGTTGGTTAAAAAAATGTTGCTCAAAATTATTTTCTTTGTAGATGAAATTCTTCCTTTAACAGACTTAAACATGTGCTGATTTCACTGGAAATTTTGCTTGGTCTGGTCATTTCTTTTAGGTGATGCAGGAACTGTGAATTCTGACACCATCCATGGTGTAAGTAAAAGCTTATTCCTTTCCTCAGTACACAATCTGATAGCGACTGCAATTTCAGAGGAAGTAGCAATGTTAGCACCCGTATGGCTGCCAAGCTCAGAAAGACAAGTACATGCACGGAGTGTAAAATATCTTAAATTCCTTGGGCATTTTTGTGTCTGATGCTGGATTCCTTCAATGTCACCTTCAGACTCTAAAGGTCTATCCTGTTTCTGGCCTTGTCTGCTTCGCCTCTAGTAGGTCTGACAGCTTTAACTTCACACAAATGAAAGGGAAACCCCCTACCATGTCAAGACACAGTCTGAAGCACAGACTATTGAAGTGTTGAAGTGCTCCTCTGAAAAAGAGGTGTTTAATGTTGACAGGTTCATTGGCACTAGTGTTGGTCTTGCCTTGCTGCCTGACCTTAGCATCAGCTTCCCTGTAACTGCTGTTGAGACTGAGGACAATTACCCTCCTTACTGACAGTTTCACTGCTGAGATGGGGTGACCTGTCCTATTCTTTTGCCAATGTAGCAAGTCCAGATCATAGCTCACGACTTCTGAAATGTCAGCAAGAACACAAACTTTCTTCAGCACTGACAGTCCTGCACAGAGAGCAGGATGAAGCTCACAGTCACACCTCATCCCCAGAAAAAGAACATTTTAGTTTATTCACAGCACATTTCTAAGATACACAACTACTTGTGGCCACTTAAATAAATCCACATTAGCTGTTCAGACTATGCTTCCTGTTTATATTCAGAAGCATGTACACTTTCACTGTGCTTTTGTCTAACAAGAACATGAAAGTAGACTTTCTTCTACTAATTTTGTTAAACTGCCAGAAAATTTCATACTGGGCATTCCTATTGTTGCAATGGCCAAAGAGCAAAAAAGCCTGAGTCATTAGTCAGGACCTGGGGTTTATTTTACTCTCTCTTCACTGGAAAATGGCACCTATAATGCACTTCTGCTTTCTAGAGAAATCCTCCTAGAAAATATTTAAAACACAACCTTCATGGGAATTCTAGGATTTGACTGATAATTTCTGTCTTTTATTCTTGGCCAGAAACTTTCTTATTTGATACATTAGGTAGTGATCCTTATAAAAAGGTTGGGGGTAATTTCTTTTCCCTTAGTTCCTATTTTCAATCCAGGTATTTTTTTCACACAGATTCTAAAGGCCTGACCACCAACACAAAACTTCAAATTACTTTAACAAGTCTTGATATCAAGTTTTAACATGTAATAGGATCAGTGTCTTTATTATTTATCCATCTGTTTTAATTTACATTTTGTACTTACACTTACTGTAGTTCTGTGTAGATATTTTTTTTTTGTTGGTCAGACTTAAAACACCTTTAATATAAAATATGTGTAAATGTGACAAGGGCCAGATGTGTTTCTACAGAAAATCTGGGTACCTGAGGAAGCAATCCAAGCACTCATAAGGCAACCTCCAAACATGCCCAACCCACTGAGGCAGGGACCTTGGAGCTGACACACAGCGTTGTCATGAAGGACATTGCTTGAACTGCAAGGACCTTGAATGCACATCTTAACATTATTTACATAATCATTATTAGGCTCACTATTGTTGGTTGTCTGAAGAGGTGGCTTAATTGTGGGAATAATTAATTTCTCACAGGTATTCTCTGAGTTCATGCAATTGGCAGTTATTTGTACATTCTGGAAGAAACTTCTGTCAATGATGGAGTGAGCCTTCCTGCTCTCTTTAAAAAAAAAAGATACCACTCTTCAAACTAATGTAAGGCCAGTTTTCTTTCTAATTAGCATCCTGGCTCTGGGGAGGCCTGTATTGGTAACACTTTCAGAAGTTAATGAAGCTGTTCTGGAAACAATTAAACCTTCCATGTATAAAACAGGTATTGCTAATGGAAAAAAAGGTCTTGTTGTGATCAGGTAGAGTATCCTCTTTCACCAGATAGTGAAAGGTGTCCTTAGATAAATGAAAATCTAAATGTGCAAGGCTAAGACTGGAGGAATAATACATACTTGTGCTTTAATACTTCTAGAAAGGCTGGCAGATATTAATTATACATGTCTACAATTCAGTTAAGGCTTTTCTTAGTCTCAGCATTCACAGTGAAGGGTAATAAATGGCCAAATATAACAAAGGAAACACAGTAATAAGAAAGAGACACTAGATCCACTGTTTGCTTGGCAGTGAGGTGAAGCAGTCAAATAGAAAAAAGTATTTAAAAAAACCTATTAAAAATGTGTGTGTGTATCTATGTTTTCCTGGAACACAGACTAGGACATCAAGGATAGTTCAGCTCGAAAATCACTGAAATCAATGCAGCTGCTCCAGTGACTTTGACATACCTTGATTTAGGCTTTAGAGTGCCTGGGTCACTGTCCCCTTCCTATGCAGTGAAATTTAAAATTATTTAAAAGTTTGTCCAGTGCTACTTTTTCTTCCCAGAGGACTCTGTAAAGGCAATAATATGTATTAACACAGAGCAATTAAGGTACTGTAAATTATCCAGAATTTTGCTGCAAATAGTACAGGGGTTAAAATTCCTTGGTATAAAAGAAAAATTGTGAAAAAATAGATCATGTATGAAATTAAATATTTTCTAAGTTATGCACATCATATTATCAAAATAGTAATCCATTACTTCTGTAAGTAGAAACACGAGACTGTCCTGACCATGGTAGGCCAAAATTTAAAGAAGTACTATCAACCTGAAATCAGATTATATTCATAAAATTAATAATCGTATTTGTTCTGCATATGTTCACTAGTTTTTATTGGTTTAAAATCACTAATCCTTAAAAAAGACCAACCAGAAGAACAACCAAAAGAACAAAACCCCCCAACTCTTCTCTAAATGACTGAATCACAAATTGAAAGTAGTAAATGGCAATAAGGAAAGTAAAGTACACAGAGAGTTCTGTTGGAATACAAACAAATATATTTCCTCCACAATATTTTTTTTATAAGGCATAACGCTATGTAAGCCCCTAGTTATGGGTGTTTACCTTTTTAAAACTAGAAATACAACTCAAAATCTGGGAGAAACCAACACAAAAATGAAAATAACACAGAACAATTTGTGTTAACTATTTCTAATCTATTGTCTGAACTCTATTTTGGTATAGGTAATTTCTGAATTTATAACTACATTTCCTTTGCATTCTTCAAGTTTTAGGTATTTTCTGGTTATTTAAAGGCATTCAGTTTACCAGTCTTTAATTTTTTCCAGTTCCTATAATCCCAGGCAATCTGAATCTTGGTCTTGCTTGGGTTTTGTTGATTTTACTTTTTTTTTTCAGTGACATGCACAGGAAAATCTCCACTAAATTTTAATTTAGTGCCCATATGTAACAGAGCTTTCACTGCATGCTCAAGAACTGGAAATTTATTTTTCTGTAGCAGAGATTAAATTTCACTTATTTCTTGTCTAAATGCCTTTTCCTACTACAAAACATGCTAGGCAACCTGTTCTGCAGTTGTGCTGTACTCATTGCAGCAGCAGATGGTAACAAACATCTCAAGGGTTAGGACACGCTTTAGACTTTTGGTCTTGCTCTCCATGCTCTGATACTATCAACAAGTTGTGCAATTTAGCATTTAGAAGAAAAGCAACTCACAAACAAAGAGTCACAACCTTCTGTGGGTCAGTTAGCACAATCCAGCCAGCCTGCTAGATCAGACCTGACTTTGTGTTCACTGTGACAAAACAATGAATGGTTGATTTTATGAAAAGTAGCTATTTCATCAACTCCACATAAAAGAAGGCAATGGAGGACTTTGCTTTGTCCATCCCATATCTTGAGTGTGACGCAGCAGCATCTACCTCATTAGGGATTCAAAATGCTGATCAGCCACAGGAGTGTGTGTGTAGGAATGGGGACAAAAGAACCTCCTGGCTTTCAGGAATATTTTAGCTTCTATTTCAACTGGCACATAATGCACTATTTAAAGTAGTATTGCACTTTTCAGTCGCCTCCTGAACAAAGCACTGTCTTTTTTTCTCAAAAGACCTCATAGTTGTTGAATTCAGCTAGAACAATGAAGCAACTGTAAGAATGTAAAAAGGACTTCATTGGTGTTCGATGGGAGATGAACTTCATGCACTTTTATAAGTTTGCATACTTGTGGGCCTTACACTACCCCTTCACACAAAATGGAAAAATTGAAAGCAATTTTTTTCTTTTAATCAAAAACCAGATAATCCATAAGTGTGTACGTTCTTATGAACAGACTTATTATAATTTTATTTACTGATGATCTGGTGTAGTGAAAACATCATAATCTGTTTGAAGTTCTGAACTGTTATGTCTTATTTCTTGTTCCAGTAAAAAAAAACAAAGGACACCAAATATTCACATTATAATTTTACATCATTGTAAAACAATCCTTTAACACCATCACAAAATTGACATGTTTCTATTAAAAAATTAAACATCTGGTTTACAAAATTTTTAAATAATAGGACTATTAAAGCTTTAATTTTTTTGACCTAATGAAACAATCATTAAAAAAAAATCTGTACACTTGACATTACTACAGGTTTTGCTTTTTTTGTTTGTTTGTTTTCTTTAACATACAAATAGACATGTCACTCCAGAACCTGCGTAGTTCCTAGAGAAACCTTCATCCTGGCTGAATGAAATCTGAAGTGCAAATATTTGCATCTAATTTCTTCTACCTGTCCTTGGCATAAGTATCCTTCTGTACTGCTTGTTTACTCTATGTCCAAAGCAATTGCCACTTCAGGATTTTCAAGGACAAAGCCTGATAGAGCAATTTTATTGTGACTATGAAAAAGATTACTTGGTTATAAACACAATTTCTGCAAAACTCTATCTTCATAGGCAGTCACTCCTCCTGTCCCCGTTAGGTTTTGTAACCTTGTGGTAAGCATTCTCAGCTAGAGGCTCTGACAAACACTGCTCTGTGTTTGGACAACTGTTGTCCTTTTGTGAGTAGGTCACAGATACAGAACAATTTAAAGTAAGACATTCTGTCCCAGTATGAAGTTCCATCATTTGTCATGTATGGTGCCATAATAGATTATCCTAATATTCCATGCTGCTCTTAAACCCTAATAATTCTTGTGGGTGCCAAGAGTTCCCTGCCCTAAACAGAAGATAAGAACATTAAAAACCTCTAGACATTGTTCAGTATTTTGCAGGATCAGACTCTGGCACGTTAGTAGTTTTGAAGACATAGCATGAGGCAGGAAACGATAGAACTGCTGAAAATTATAGTAACAGAGAGTGGACAGCCTGGTTTTCTTAATAATGGAGCTGTACAGAGTCCTGCTTCATCCTCCCTACATCCCCAGAAATTCATTCATTGTGACTGTCACCAAAGCAGTTGCAATCCTTCCACAGTGCAAGGGAACATTATTACTTGAAGGCTGATCCTTTAGCTTCACATAGGAGAAAGCAGAGAATTAGTCAGTTCAGTACAGCTCATTTCTGTCTTTGATTTGCTCACGAAAATAAGCACATAGACATCAATCTCTATGTCACCACAGCTATTCTAGAAAATCCTTCCTAACAGAACTTAATTGTTTTTACAGATAAGCAGAGTTGTTGGTTTTTTTCCCCTGCAAAATGCTCTCCTAGTAATAATATGTCAAAATTTTCAGTTAGTAACACTTCTATGGTATCAGTGGCATGTCCAACATCATGATTTACTTCAGTTCATCTGATACTACTCTTGACTAAATCATCAGGAAAAGGATGCTGCTGGTAGTAGAATAATAAGCTTGATGAACCAATACCTTCATCAAGTCTGCCAAATACTATCTTGCTATGAATAACCTGTTCCAGAATTCACAACACTTCGGTACAGTATACTGCAAAACATAATTTCTGCCCAACAAAGAAACTTCTGCATGAGTTACAGCATTCAAGCAGCTGATGTAATGAGAGAAATTAGCATTCATTTTATTTTTTAGAGAACAACACTTTTCTCTTAAACTATTCCCTTAACCTTCTAGAAGAAAGCAGTTAAATCCTGAATACTAACCCAATTACTCATACTTTTGATTATTTACATTTTTATTCAAAGCACATGTATTCTTTGTATCTTCCCTTCTAAGAATGGATCAATACCTTTCTAAAATCGGATTGCACGCACATTTGCTCACTTCTGTTCTCCTTGCATATTCCTATTAGAATTTCAGGCACACTCTACAGCCATACACACAGGTTATCATACAGTCCTCTCAGAATGCTGATGTATTGCAACAATCCATTTTACACCGCTAAAGAAGTAAAATTATGGAAAAAAAAAAAAAGGCGCTGTATGCGCACGGGGGGGAAAAAAAGAAATAACAAAAGGTACGCTTATCACTCGACTCTCAGCAGCTGCCAGCACGAAGGGACGCATCGCAGGGACACGCTCCGCCACATGGAAGCCAGAAACCGTCGTATTTATTCATTCCTGCCGCGGTACCGGCGCTCGGAGTTGGGTCTTCCACCGCCGCCGGCGCCCGAGGCGGGGGCCGGGCCGCTCCGCGCCCTGGCCGCACTTACCCGCGCCGGGCGGCGCTCGGGCCGCCGGCCCTGCCCCGCGGGCCGGGCTCGCAGTCTCGGCGCGGGGCCCCGCCGCGCTGCCCAGGTGTAGCGGCCCGGGGCGCCCCGCCGCGCGGGCGGGCGCTGCGCGGCGGCGGCCGGCGCTGGTTGGGCGCTCGGCGCCTGTCGCTGGGCGGCGTGAGAGCGGGCTGGCCCCGCCTCGGCCCGCGCCTCCGCCCGCCCAGGCACAGACATGACACAGACACACAGGCGCTGCGGCCGCCGCTGAGCCAGCCCGGGGCAGCGCGGCGGCCGGCGTGCGACTCCCGGCACCCGCCGAGCGGCAGCGGCGGCCGCTCCCGGCTCCGCCTCGGCTCGCCGGGCGGGCGGCCGCGGCCCCGACACCCGCAGGGGGCAGCCTGGCACCGGGCGCCGGCGGGGGAAGGCTGACAGCGGGGAAGGGGCGGGAGGCGAGGAAGGAAGGAAGGAAGGGGAAGGGGACAGCCTGGCACTCAGACTCGGGGGCGGTCTCCAGGCACGGGCACGGAGCGAAGCCGGTCGGAGCGCGGCACCCAGCGGTCGCTGACTCCGGGCCGGCAGGAACAGCAGCGACCGCGGCGGTGCCGGAGGGAGCTTCTCCGTGCTCGGCTCCGCGGTGCCGGTGACCTTCCCGGAGCTGATCGCCAGGCCGGGGCAGGGCCTCCTCTCCCCGCGGAGAGTGTGCACCAGGCCCCGGGGAGAGGGCAGGAGGCTGGGCCGGAATCCCCCGTTTCCCCCGGGTCCTCCTGGCCGCCGGCGGGGCCTGTGCGCCGCGCGGTTCGCCGCCGGGGAGAGGGGCGGGGGAAGGCGAGCGGGACGGACGGACGGACGGACGCGGCCGGGCTGCACCTCGGGACAGCGCGGGGCGGGCAGGCCCCGGAGAGAGCTGAGCTGGGCGCCGGAGGAGGCGGCCACCTCGGCGGCGCATCCCGAGAAGAGTCGGGACCTCGCCACCGCCCTCCTCCTCCTCCCACCGTTAGCGGCTCCTCGTCCCGCGGAGAGTGGAGCTGCCGCTGCCGCCCCAGCCGGGACCCGCTGGCTGTCACCTCCGGAGCGCCGGGCTGCGGGGACGGAGCTGGAGCTGCCCGTCTGGAGCGCAGGAGAGGGAAGGACCGCTGGCTTGTGCGGAGCGGCGGGCGCTGAGCGCCCGTCCCGGCGGCCCGGGAGCCACCCGGGGAAGGTAAGCACCTTCTCATCTAGTCTCTGCTGCTTTTGGGGGCGAGGGGCGGGGGAGGGCAAGAAACAATCGGTGAGTGTCTCCCTTCCAGCAGCCCGGGGTGGGGGCACCCGAGTCCAGAGGGCCGGGCTGGCAGTTTCATCTGCTGGATTTTAATCCCCATCAGATCCGGAATTGAAGAGATGCTCAGGCGGAGGCGCGCCTGTCGCTTCCCGGCACAAAGGGGCACGTTCCGCCGGGCGAGGGAGGTTTCTCCGCTCCACTCGCTGGCTCCGCTCCACGCCCTCTGCTCCGGCCGGGCTGCGCTCCGGCTGCGCCCCGGCTCCAGCCCCGCTTCGCCGGGGTCCCGCCGAGTGCCGCTGCTCCGAGCCGGGAGAGCCGGGGCTGGCGGCCGCGGCTGGGACGGAGGGAGCCGAGCCGCGGGGCGTGAGCGCTCTGCCCGCCCGAACGGGACCCGGGGGCAGAGCCGGAGCGCGGCCGGGACGCCGAGCCGAGCAGGGTGACCTCCCCATCCCCTGCCAGCCTCCCCTGCAAGCCTCCAGCCCAGAAAGCGCTCCCTTGGGAAGGCTTTTGCTATTACCTCGTATCCGAGAACTGTGTCATTTAGATCATTAATCCCTGCGCACCGGGGGATGCGGGGAAAATAGCAACTTGCGGCCCTGTGGAGGTGACGTGAAGTTTGACAATGCCTTATGTAACACTTTTTGGAGAGGTTCCTAGTTTTTCTGTTGTGCCTTGTTTTAGTAAGCAAGTGGCTTTTCTTCTTTGTAGAGCATCAGACAAGCGATTTTTGTGTTTTCACCTGAGTACCGTGTCTCCTGCTTTGTTCAACTCAGGTCTACTGGTACACAGCATATGAAGCCTACTTTTTCCCTACATGCATTTTTTATTAGCCAGTGGAGGCATTTGAACAGTTGTTAGAAGTCTTACCTTTTTCTGTATGTATTTCATATAGCACTTTTAAAATTACTACAGGAAACATTTTCACAGGACTGATTGTCATGCATGTATTCTGGAAGGTATGGATGCCAGGTTGGAAATGGCAATAAATCAAATGTCTTTTAAACGTTCTTAGCTTCTTTATAGACAGTATCAGTGCTGGAAAGACTAGAAAGCACCAGGCTAAACAAAGCACTATGTTAAAATCAGACCTGGCAATTGCCAACAGGTCAGCATATTTTATTTAATGATATCTGCTGGATACAGATTGAATTTTCTGTGTACGAAGTATTTTTTAAACTTGTTCAGAAATAGAAGCAGCAGGAAATTTCATAAATGGGTTGAAGTACTGCCTAGTTTCCATAAGGGATTATATCTTCTACCATGGAAAAAACCCCAAAGCCAAAATAGAAAGCTGGCCTCACACATAAAAAGACAGAGTAGTGATTTGTCACATTTCGTCAGACTCCCACTGCACAGAGTCGCTAGGGGGACTGGTTTGGGTGGGCTTCTTCCCCTCATTCAATGGTGAAAATGCACAGACTATTGTGATGATAGTTCTGAAATGTTCTTTTCTCTACCTTTGTGGAGTTCCATCATTATACTGTAAGCTTAGAGGAGAAATCATATGTAGAAACTTGGGTGATGAGTTAAGGGCAGGGGATCTAACAAAGTTGTTTTGCTCCTCGCTGCAAAGGAGATAGATGATCAGAGGTTAGTTTACTTACATGATCAGAGGTTAATTTACTTATAGGTAGGACAAGCTAACAAAAAAATCTTGAATATCTTCACAGTGTTTCAGTATTTTAAAATTGAGAAAAGTGAAAA